TTTAGTTCTTGTTTAGCTTCAGTTCTTGATATCTTCAAGAAATGCTAAGAAAGGTCTCTCTGAAAGCTGAGACAGCCACTGAGCTAGAGGGATAGAAAGTCTAAACTGATACTAGTCAGTAGAATTGGCAACTGTTCCAAATATACAGTGTGAGTTTCCTTAGTGTTAAAATGTTTAAAAATGGATTAAAATTGTAATTTTACCTTCCAAGCCTCCAGCTAACAGCTGTCCTGGAATTGGGACTGAATGATATATAAGAAAACATGCCAACATACTTAGTTGAGATTCATCAATAGGTTGTCCACTTAAATAGGAATGCAAACAAATATCACCGCCAGCTGAAATATAGAAGGAGAGAGATTTTAGGGGATATAAATGGGATCTGCAGCAAAATATTGGTACATGGGGTTCTGTTCAAGATTCCAGCAAGCCAGCTATATCTTCCTCTGTGATATTTCATACCTTTCACTAGCACCATCACCCATTTCCTGCTTCTTTTTTCTACTACCAGTTAGAAAGCATTCATTATTGCGTCCCCATCATTTACAGAGGAGCATCTCTTAATTTTTTTTTCAAAGTGTTTTGTACTTAGGCTAACCTTGGAACTCCCTTGTGCCCATTGATACTTCCCCTCTTGTATGTCTATGCCTCCATCTTCAGTACATACCAACGAAGTTTGCTATTACCATGTCAAATTTCTTCATTTGTAGAATAACAGTCAAAATTGAAGTGGAAACCTTTTTCATTTTAAATAACTCATTATAGCCTTTTACCAGTAAACAATGAATACTTTACCTTGCAGCCACTGATCCAAGGTATTATCTATAGAACACTTCATCACTGGTAAAAACTCTGAATTCATGAAAAGCCCCGCATGTGGATTTTTCCTTATTCTTTCCTGATGACTTCTGGAATTAAAAAACTCTAGAACCAACTTTATCTGCCACAAATCAAATGTCTCGGACATTTCTTTTTTTTCTAATCTTCTCACAGCCTAGCCAAAAAGGAAATGAAGATGGAATGAAATCAGTATTGTAGGAACAACAAAGTTATGTGCAAGATTTGTCACCAGGAGATGTGATTATACACAGAATTTGATTTTTCTCAGATAAATGTTCTTTATAGATAATAATGGAAACTTGTTGAGTTCTAGAAGGCATAAAGTAAAATGTGACTGAGGATAAATTGTTTATTACAAAGAGTTTTTTGAAGCATAATTCAAAAGAGATCAAAATAATTGAATATTGCAAATGCACTTAATGTTTGTTTTCTTTAAACTGGAAAATAAGTATCTACATGAATAAGAGCACTTGCTGAAGAGAAGGAAAAATACCTGATCAATTGCTATATAAGCTGGCAACATCTCTGGATTCTCTTGAGTAACACACTCATACAGAATGGATGAAAAGAGGTCAAAAACTTCCTGTTTCTGAAACAAGAAAATGTATTTTATAAAACACACCATCTACTCTTTTTAACATTTACTTTTCTTTTTTCTAATCCAATTCAAAAACCTATTTTGGAGCCTTCCCAAAGCTTCTGCACAACTGAAAAGTATTTTCTGTTTTAGACTATATAGAACACAACATTCATTTCAAAAAGATTTACTATCTTTAGACTTGAATTACATGTTCTTCTTTAGTGTCCCAATACTAGGAAGCCAGAATTAAATGCAAAATGGTGAATCTCTTATTCATTTATTTAAAATGCATGTGTGCATAGATATTAACTATTTCATCATGGTTGGGAACTACTATATAGGAGAACTTAGCCATGGAGTTTTTCACAACTTTGATGATGAAGTCATTGTTGACTCTTGGCAACCATATAGATGGACTTTCTCCATGACAATCTGTCCCTAACTTGGTCTTTCAAGTCTTCCAATGTGCCCTCATCGCCACTGTAATTGAGTCCATCCACCTTGATGATCATCCCCTTCTCTTTCCTTCTACCTTTCCCAGCATTAGAATCTTCTCTAGAGAGTTAGGTCTTCCCATAATGGGTCAGAATTTGGATAATTTGAGCCTGAGTTGAGTTGTTCAGTGATCCATTTGTTTGTTGTTTGGCTGACTGTGGCATGTTCAGGAGTCTTCTCCAACACCAAAGTTCAAAAGTGTCAATATTCTTCCTATCCTGTTTCTTAAAAGTCCAACTTTCGCTTCCATAGAATGTCACAGGGAATATCATGGCTTGCATGATTCCGAGATAGAGACACATCATGGCATTTGAATATCTTTTCCAAGGCCTTCATCCTGCTCTAACAAGTGCTATTTGCAAGTATTTCTTGACTGCTGGTTTCTTTACTGTTGATGGTTGATCCTAAAAGGCAGAAGGTATCCACCACTTCAATATCTTCATTGTCAGTTCTAAAGCTGGTTGTTCTGTCTGCTGCTGTTAATTTGGTCTTTATATTTAATTTTTAGTCCCATTTTTTCACTGTGCTCTTTGACTTTTATTACTAGAGCTTACAGATCCCTTGCATTTTTAGCTATCAGGGTAGCGTCATCAGCATAGCACAGGTTATTGATGTTTCTTTCTCCAATTTTAAAACTACAGTCACCACCTTCTAATCCAGGTTCCCTTAATATATATTCAGCATAAAGGTTGAATAAATAAGAGGGGAGTATACAGCCTTGTCACACTCCTTTGCCAATCTGGAGCCAGTCTGTTTCACCATGTACTATCTGTACTGTGGCTTCCTGACCTGTATATAAGTTTATCATGAGGACAATGAGATGTTCTGAGATTTCCATTTTTCTGAGAACATTCCACAGCTTGATGTGATTGACACAATCAAAGGCTTTTCTGTAATCAATTTCTTTCTGAAAAGAAGTCTTTTCTGACTTCTTTTTGTTACTGTTTGGCTTTCTCAGTAATCCAGTGTGCATCAAGCAATAGCTCATGTTCCTCAGCCTTTTTAAAACCAGCCTGAACACGTGGCATCTCTTTTTCCATGTAGGGCTCTAATCTGTTTTGGATTATCCTAAGCATTATTTTGCTAGCACGTGAAATTAAGGCTACCGTATGATAATCTGCACGCTCTGTTAAGTCTCCTTTTTTTTGGTACTGGAATGTAGATTGATCTCTTCCAATTGGTTGGTCACTTTGTCATTCTCCAGAATAAATAAATAGCTTGGTTAGAACCTTTACTGATTCTTCTTCTGTTCCTTTCCATATTTCAGTGCGTATTTCATCAGTTCCTGTAGCCTTCTGACTTGGTAATGACCAGAGTGCTGATATATCTTCATCTTCTAGTACTAGAGGTTCTTGTAAGTAGGGAATATATTCTAAAGTATCTTGGATGTTGACATCTTTATTGTACAATATTTCAGTATACTCCTTCCATCTTAGTTTGCTCTCCTTTGAATCAGTTACTATCTGTCTTTTGGCATCCTTCAGCATTCCAGTTTGAGGTTGGAACCTCCTTCTGATATTTTGAAAGACTTCCCTTATTTTTCCATGTCTGTTTTCATCTTCAGTGTTTTTAGAGAAGTTGTAATACTGCTTTTTTCTCTTCCAACAGCTGTCTGAAACTTAAGTTCCTTTCGGAGATTTTTGTCTTTTTTGGCTTTGGCTTCTCTTCTATTCTTGGCAATTCCAGTTTGTTGTGACATCCAATTTGCCTTCTTCTCTTTCTTCATTTTTGTCAGTCTTTTTCACATTCATCTTTAATAAGTGCTTTAAGTTCATACTATAATTCCTCTGGTTTTCTACCAATGAGGTTCAGGACTTCAAACTGACTCCTGATATACCCACCATTTTCAAGGAGAATATGTTCAAGATTATACCATGGAAACTGACTGGCTTTCTTCTTCTTTAGCTTAACTTTTCTGCTGTCGCTCCTGCCTTGTCGAATATCTTGCCCCCCCCCCGAGGTGAGATTGGCCCCCACTCTTCTGGCCTTCCAGAAGAGCATTAAGACCTGGCTCTGCTGACCAGCTTGGGGATCCAGTGGGGGCTCACAGCACTGGGGGTGGCTGGTGCCTTGAGAATGCTCTCACTGTCTTTTAACTTTGTTTTGTAGTTTCTTAACTGTTTTTATGCTTATTTGTGAGCTGCCTAGAGTCACTTATATAGTGAGACGGGCACCATATAAATTTGATTTATATATAAATAAAATAAATAAACTTGCAGTTTGCACATGAGAAGTTCGTGATCTGTTCCACAGTCAGCACTTGGCCATGTCTTTGATGCTACAATTGAGCTTCTCCACCTCCTTTTAACAGTAATATAATCAATTTGATTTCTATATACTCCATCTGATGACATCCACATATAGAAGCACCACTTTGGTTGTTTGAAAACAGTATTAGCTATGAAGAAATAATTGGAGTGGTAGAAATTGGCACGTCAGTCTCCTGCTTCATTCTGATTTCCTAAGCCAGGGGTGTCCAACCCGTGGCCCACGGGCCACATGCAGCCCAGGATGGCTATGAATGCAGCCCAATACAAAATGATAAACTTACTTAAAACATTATGAGATTTTTTTTGGTAACTCGATTGTGCGGTTCTCGAGCGTGAACTTTGTAGATGACAATGTCGTGTCGCAATGTCATATAAAATAAACATACGTATATTCTCGCTATTTGTACGTATGCATGGCTTCAGTTTTACAGCAGTGTTCGGCTTCCAGTGTGTTATCTTCCAAGCGCAGACAGTCGAACTGACACCATTAGACGTTACATGTGCTCGTGGTGACTTGGCAAGTGAAACACAGCAATTATCAATATTTCAAACTACCATTGCAAACGATAGGCGTTTAATGTTATTTAGAAGACAGGTAAGCATTCTTATTTGATTATTAAGGGTACTTCTACATCTCAGCTGCGCCTCACACATCGCCCACCACGCTTTACCTATACAATTGGGCCTCCGCCTCACGCTGCATCGGCAGCCGAGATGTGGAAAGCCCCAAACCTTGCTTTCTATTTTCCTGTCAATTAATTTTCATAATAAAAGTAAATATAGTACCTTATCTATTATTATTTTTTTAATCCCAGCATGGCTTCTACGACGTCTCAAAAGAAAACATAACCCAAAAAAAGAAAAATTACAAATGAAGGAAGATTGTTTAACGAAAAGTGGACAGATGACTATTTTTTTGTCGAGGCAAATGGTAAGGCGCTTTGCTTAATTCATAGGGAAGACTATAACTTGAAAAGGCGTTATATGCAAAAAGACGCTGCCAAATTCAGTGCGTATCAAGGATTGTGTTGTAAGGACTAAACAGCAGAACTGGAAAAAAGTATGTCTACTCAACAAAAATTTTTTTAAAAAGTTACAACTCAGACGGATTCTATTGTAAAAGCTAGTTATGTGGTAGCATATTTAATAGCAAAAAAATCAAAACAATTTACTGATGATGAGTTTATTAAGCAATGTATGGGAAGCATGGCAGATATAATTTGCCCGGAAAAAAAGGGGGATATTTCTAAAATCAGTTTGTCTCACCAGACTATAGCCAGGTGAATTGAAGAAATTGGAAAATCTATCAAAAGAAGTTTGAAGAGTAGAGCTGCTAATTTTTAATTTCATGCTTTGGCAATGGACAGCACTGATGCTACAACTATGGCTCAGCTTGCTATTTTTATTAGAGGTACTGATGACGAATATAATGTCACTGAAGAACTGGCTTCTTTAGTACCTTTAAAAGACTAAACTAAATCAAGAGATTTATACGAAGCACTAAAAAATATGTTAAAGCGATTTTCTTTGTCCATTGTCAACATATCTGGTATAGTTACTGATGGTGCCCCAGCGATGGTAGGTAAAAGAGAGGGACTTGTAAAATTAATAGAAGATGATGCAATTGCCATGCAAAATGCATGTTTGATGAAGTATCATTGTATAGTATGTCAAGAAAATTTATGTGCAAAAGCTTTAAAAATGGATAACGTCATGCAAATCGTCATCAAGACTATGAATTTCATAAGGGCCAAGGGATTAAATCATCGCCAATTCCAGGAATTCCTTAAAAGTGTTGATGCTGACTACAGCAACATCATTTACTTTTCAGAAGTAAGATGGCTAAGTCGAGGCCAAGTGTTGAAAATATTTTATGATTTGCCACATGTTATCAAGTCGTTTATGGTATAAAAAACAAAATTTGTGCCAGAACTTGACAATGAAAACTGGCTTACAGATTTAGCATTTTTA